TTTGACCCACGCGCATATCTATCTCGCACAGTCCGCCAATTATTAAACCAACACATCGCGTGGGCCACGCCAATTCGATAAAACAGTACTACTCAATCGCCGGCTATTTATGATGCATTTAACGGTTTAATGTAAATCTAAACAAAACGGAAAAGCTGTAACGAGCACACTAAGGGGATCGTGGGATTACCGAAGTGACAGGCAGCTAAAGGAATACATTTATTATGCGCACATGGAATTGCGGCTCTTGGAATTTGATTTTTCACAAATTAACCGAATTTGTGTACCTAAACTTATAATATTCTGACCGACGATAGTATAATGTGTTATCGTGTTGCTTGACTTTGCCGCAGTCATCGTGAATCGGAGACAGCACGCGGCGAGAGAATCCAATATAAGTACAAGAGCTGATAAACGCCTTGTTTGGTCGGTTATACAGGCATCCCACGGTGTCCATTATTAATGATCCGCGGGCCCGTCACATCACTTCACACCTTTACGCCAGTCATTAAACCCATCTTCTTCGCGTCCGCCCTCCTCTCAGCATCATATTATAATACACATATATATATCACCGTACAACACTGGGTAATAAAATAATATATTACAAAAAGATATAGGTACCTTTAATAAAGTCCATTTTGTTATTTCGTTTTCTCAAATCAATTTGTTCACAATTATCAAATATTTCGTGTATCAATCACCCGTCGACACCTACAACACTAGAGACGTTGTGACCTGTGACCGGGTTAGCGGTATTATTATTATTATTTTACCAATTTATAAAAGCGAACCGCGCCGCCGTCGTAATGGTCCAAACAAAAACTCGCAGTAATCGTTCAAATATACATTTTTCTCATTTGTTCGCCAAAGATCCCCCGCGGTCTTCTGGGACTTTCCATTAGGTCCAATAAGACTACATTGCAAACAGTCTGTTTGATGTATTTAATATCCCGTTATTATTTAAATCAACGTACGATTAATGACTTGGCTATCAAATTATTTATCAAGGTTCGAGCCAATGATTTCCAAAAATCCATAAATAGACAGACCAACTAAAATGATGGTCAATATAAGGATACAACACATTTATAGTTATAGAATAACTAAATTGATAACATTCAATTGACTGGACTATATGTTATCACAACTAGAAATATAATATGTCCAATAATGTATTGTGTCTATATAAAACATAATTTCGAGTCTAAGCTCCTCAAATCAATAATTAGAATATATGTTTTCGTCTAAAACATAAATCTATTTCTTTTCTCACATATTTTACAATGTCAATTTCGACTTGGGTCATTTGATTTTGACATGTCGATTTCCGTCCGTTTCCAACGACTGTTGGTTTTCCAGCAATTCTAACATATGGGCCGACAACACAAATTGATCTTCGGCAGACTTGTGGTCGTCGTCCAAAGCGTCGTATTCGATTTCAAAATCTACTCCTAAAGCGCACCGGCAAAACGACAACACCAAACTGACGGCCCAAGACGCGTGCAACACCCAAAGCAACGCCTAAGACGAACGGTATACAACAAGATATGGTTTAACAAATACCCTTTCGGCTTTCGTTCTATCGGTCCGTTGTAAAATATGATGATAATGATAATAATAATAATATTTGGGTTTGTTTGGAGGTTCGTGTATAGTGTAATGGAAACGAAAACAGACGATTAATAACGCTCTCGTCCGTTCGAACAATAGTGGTTGGACGAAAAACAAAATGCAATTCACGATTGTTATTACACGTGGATGACGTTTTCGAAAAAGCATTATCAATTTCACGTTTAATATAATATGTATAACCCGGCTAAATATTAATAATGGTATACCCATATTATAAGCTGTAGGTTTTTTTCTCTCAAACGATATCCCTACAAGTATTACACTACATTATAATTGGGACACCTTTTTACACCGTCGAATGTATTTAATTGTACATATATTATATTCTGTATACTTACTATGCAATAGTAATAAGCCGGTTTCAGATGATCGTTGCTAAAGAAACACACACAAATACAGCTGTTATTTAAGCTAATTGTAAGATTTTTGTTTTTGGAATTAGTTTTTGTTTTGTTTACAAATATGTTCGATATTCGTCTTCGATCGGTAACAAAACGACGCTGTCCTGGAACCTCCAAAATCCATTAGTGACAATCAACGTGGCGTTTAGCGTTTTGAACCAAAATAACGCGTTGAACAGAATCGACCAGAACACGATCTTCCATTGACCCACGAACACGCTAATCCCACGATATACCAGAAAATGATACACCCGTATTATATTGTACAACCTAACCCGTCCAGTGCACGTGTGCCCACCAAGTCCCCAAAGTCGCAGTGTAAAAAACGGTTAAAAAATTCACTTTAGTGGCCAAGTTCGTAATCGTTGTACCAGACAAGTTATACCAGGCCAGTATGTTGAATTAAACAAAAATAGTGTTTTGATTGATAATGGCGGATCGGGCACCTTGACGACTCGAGTTTCTTGGAGATACACCGTCTGTGCATTTCTTACTTGTCATCGGCCATGGACTTAGGCAACACGGAACCGCCGCGGCCAAATTGCACGTACAACGGGATCCAAATGGTGGAGAAGACAAACGACATTATGGGAACGGCGAACCCGTAGTTACAGTATTCGTTCGTGAACCAAGCATCGTTGTCTAACAGCTGCTTGCCGTACATGTCGGTGGACCCCTCAGAGTGGTAGACCATCATCTCGTTGTACAGGAAACACTTATAGTCGGACAGCACCACCGTCTGGTAGAACATGGTGCCACCGATAAGTCCAAACACCGCAGTGACCACGAACATGACCGTCTGCGACCAGCACCAAGCGGCCGCCACTAAATCGGAATCCTTGTCAATCACTCTGGCCACCATACCGGAACTTAAGGCACGTCAAAAAAACAGAGAAACCCTTTTGATGTATTAAAAAGTTTAAAACCGTACAACCGCGGAACGGATTTACGAGTTGCTACAGTAACAATAACAAGCAATGTCCAAACATTTTTCCCGGTTTATGGCTGTTGTGCTCTCTTATGGCATTCTTTGCACTTTGCTCTTCTTCGACAAACAAAAGAAACAGCTGTTATTGAAATACATGTAGGAAGAACCTGAGTTTGGTCGGACTGCAACCAAATTGACATAACCCCTCAGCGATACATTCAACAAATGTTTTAAACATATTTGTTTTATATATAAACGCACATTGTATCATACCATATATAATACTATTCTTGATGTACTATAATTAACCTACTGAGTACTGTTGAATAGCAACTAGCATCGTCTGTCGCCCGTTAAATTGTACCGGCTGGGTCTATACACCTCTCTACAAACGTCTCTACTTCGCTACTTTGTGTGGGATAAAAATTGTGTCTATACTCGAAGATCAAATATGATAACTATACAATTCGGGCTCTGGTGTTTATTTTTCGGTTAACATCTACCCCAACGGCCGGTGTCCGCTTCTGGATTTATTTTCCCGATTTCCCGCACCGATTATATCTCACACCTCCGGGATTAACGGCTGCCCCCGTGGGGGGGTGTGGCCGCATCCCTCGAACCGGTCCGGTGCCCGACAAACAATCGATCAGTAGCCAAATCCCGTGTGTACTGTGACACGTTTTCGATAAGCCGCCCCGAGTGTGTGTATCATACACAGTACGTGCTCAGGTTGGGTTATATTATAAGATTTATGACGTTTCGGCTTATACTTTGCCCGTGTGGCGCTAACCGCACCGTCTGATGGCGTTTCCCGGAGTCTCTTCCCATTGCAGGGGGCGACGATAAATGATCAACAACATTCACTGGCGATTGTAACAACCCAAAGCGATCTCAGTCTTCGTTGGTTTCATCTCCGGCATATAATGTTAGAAGGGCAATATTAACTTTGCCGGTTAAAAAAAAGTACTACTAACTACCGCGATGATCAGGACGGCTTAACTACATGGTAAATGTGTTCACGCCTTTGGTGCGTACACACATTATTTCCGGCGGATTTTTTGTCCTATTTCGGTGCAATCAAGCCAGAGTAATATAAATAATTTAATACCGAAAATGAAAAAACATACACACATACGAGTCGGTCACGATAATAATTCCTCTGCGGTGGCTGTTCGAAGACAACTCGTTATGGAAATCGGCTATATACCTACCTACCCAACGCAGTCTACACGTACATGTATATTATAAATTACAACACGGACATGACAGTACCCAAGCTAGGTATAGCCACTGAGTAGAATACACCCGGCGCTACACAGTACAGAAATTAATTTTCTCTTTTGACAACGGTAGTCTTGAACACGATTTAGAATCAACACCGCGTCGCGTGCTTACCCCGGCACCGACCAGAGCCAGGACACTATTTCCTAAAATAGCATAATATACTACTATCAAACGTACTAAACCGCCTAATGATTTGCAGCGTTATGCCTGATGTATTATTATCGCTTATACATGTATTTCCTTAGGCGATTTTGAGGTTCAAATGAAAAATAATATTTTTTGTCGTTTTTTGTATTTTGTTTGTACATTTCAAAGAACCAAAAAATATGCGATACCCAAAAAGAATATTACTACGCTGCAGTTTCGTCATAAATGTTTAACGGCTCTACGCCAACACAGTCTAACAGCTAAAATTATTGTACGACATAGGGCCACGTTTCCGTCAGCATCTTATGCTATTAATTATGTTACCTGTTTTTCATACACGTTTAACGTCTGGGTATTCCCTAACAATTTAGGCTCCGACGGTTTATTGGATTTGGCAGCTTACAACTATTATAGCATCTGTTAAAAAATATATTTTTCAAAAACTCGTTTTGATCCCAAAGCGATATGCCGTTCTAGATAGACTTAATAGTACTAAAATATTTTACCTGGTTGTTCGAAACGTGCATTTAAAAAAATTATTGTTATTATTATCAAATATATTAACAATAATAATAACGGCAATGTTTGTATTTTTTTGTTAACAGGTAAAAAATGGCGAAGTCTAACGCCGCAAGACCGTCGACCGTACGTGGAAGAAGCTGAACGTTTGCGGGTAATACATATGCAAGAGCATCCCAACTACAAGTATAGGCCACGGCGGAGGAAGCACAACAAACAGCGAGCGGGATCACCCACGTCGGCTACGACCGCAGCGGCCGCGGCAGGCCACTCGCCTAACGCTAGGCGCCCCAACTCGGTGGGACAGGTGAAGCTGGTGCAGTATCCGCCCAGCTCGCCATACCAGAGCTCGTCGTACTCGTCGCCGGCCATGCACCAGCCGTACGCGTACCAGCCGTACAGCCCGTCCAAGACTACTTCGCCGTACTACCCGAACAGCGAGAGCCCGTATTCGCCGATCAGGGTGTCCGAAGTGATCACGCCCGAATCGTCGCCCACGTGCAGTCCGGACCCCGACAAGCCTTCCACGGTCGCGACATCGGCCGACGAAGCCGCCCCTTCGGCAGTCGACAACAATAACGGTCGAGCGACCAGCAAGACGCCCACGCTGCCCACGCCCGAACTTTCACCGATGGAACCGCCGACCAAAGACCACCACCAATACAGGGCCGAAGTCAAGTACGAGCCCGATGATTTCGCCGGTTACTATGGCCAGAAACAATCGGCAACGGCCGCCAACAATAACAACCACCATCGTCAGTTCAACAACAACATTCAGACGTCGTCCTATCAACCGGCGCCAGGCTCCATAGCCGCCATGGGGGTAGCCAAGGGTATGGTGATGATGTGTACCAACCAACGGTTGGCTTACGAACATAACAGTATCGTGACCGGTACGTTTTACCCGCCTATCGCCACTTCTCAAGACCAACAGGTGCTGGGGCCCAGTTCACAACACCACCATCAACAGCAGCAACAACAACAGCAACAACAACAGCAGCAACAGCAACAACAACCACATTACGCCAATAGACCGTTCTATTCAACAAGCGGATTACACGCCGGCGGTACCGTGTACACTAGCAGTAGTCCGTCGACGGCCAGACAATCGGACGCCTACCATGGTATGTATTTTTTTTTTTTTTTTGTAATGAATTTAATGCCGAGTTGCGAAAAAAAACTAAATTTAACAATTAACTGAACCATTACGGATCACTTTTTAAAAATGCTTACGCAACACGGTATAGTATATGAAATGAAAACGATTGTTCTTACATATTATTATTATTATTATTATGATGTTTACAGCGGTCGGAAACATGTTACAAGAAGATCATCACATGACGTCGTTGCAACAACCCAACAACGACTACCATCACGGCGGTAACGGGGAAATGATGGAGATGAGCTTTATGGGCGGCAGCCATCATCAGTCGCCGTCCGAAATGCTGCTGGGCACCCTGCAGCGACCCCGATCTCAGCAGTCCGACTTGGACGCGGCGGCCGGCGGCAACGGCGGCAACAGTGAATTGGACCGGTATCTCAAGTACATGACCGGTCACCAGCAACCGGACAACAACCACAACTATCAACAACTACAACAGCATAACATGTTCGCTCAACCGTCGCCACACCACCACCACCATCAACAGCAGCACCAACAGTACAGCTCGTATTATTCACAGCCCATGCAGCACTTGCACCAACAACAAAATGCCGCCGCCGCCGTAGACGCTCATAACCACGCGCATCACCACACGACTTATCTGCTCAACAATTGCATCAAAACAGAATTCGGCCACGGGTACGCTACGGCCACCGCGGTGGACAGCGGCGGAGGCAGCCACCCGCAACACTATCCGGACGTGCAAAATCTTCCGGCCACGACTAACATGCAGAACGTGGCGGCGGCCGCTGCTGCTGCGGCTGCAGCCGCCGGTCAGGTGTTGGCCGGCGGTAAGCCGGATGAAGACTTCAGCGTCATATTGGCGGACGTCAGAAAAACTTGCTACAGCAGTTGAATGCTAATCGGTAGTGTGATGAGGTAGAAGCTGCAAGTAGCAGTTCTAGATCTAGATTCTAACATATAAATATAAGCCGTGGTCTGGTTGAGTTTCAAAAGTGCTTCAAATCAAATTAATGTTCGTCTCGTTATGATGTCCGCAGGTTTAGATGTAATCAATGATCTTACTACTGTTGAGGTCCGTTATCTTATAGCTGTTTACTTATGTGGAACGAATAAGACTATTATTAATAATAATTATATTGAATCTAAATGTGTAAAACCCTTTCTGCGATTTGTCATCATGTAAACATGTTTTTTTTTATATACCTAAACCATACTTATTACAAACTGCATATTAAATACATTGCAATTACGGGACTTTTTCACGATATTTTCACTTTTCTGATGTTGACATAATGTATACGAAGGGTTATTTTAATTTCCACGATCGCAGGGTATTTATATTATGGTTAATGTTTATTTTATTGTATGCCTTATTCGAGACAAAACGATACAAAGTACAGTGCAATAACACGTATTTTAGTGTAATACCCTATAATAACAATATTATTACTATTGTTATTATTGTCAAATCTATTGTGTAAATATATTATAAATATAATATTATATAGCGCGCGGATTTTATTATGTACCTATTTGTAACGTGCAAATTACATTGTTGGCTTTGTAATTATTATATTTCGTTATTAAATGTAAATGTTTTTTTTAAATATATTATTATTATTGACATTTGTAATACTTCTAAAAGTATAGTTATATAATAAATTTTTGCACTATTCAAAGTCGTATTATTTTGTTGTATAATCATTCCTGTACGAATATAGGACACAGATTTTATTATTTATATTGTAGTGTCCAATAATGAGAAAGAGGTTCATATACGATTTACTCGTTTTGAGTATACCATTTGTTGGTAGTACCGTGCGCGAAAATGATGTCTTCTATGCAGCTGTGGATGTTGATAGCATTACCGTTAGGATCATAGGTTAGGACCTATCGGGTAAGTGTACAAATTCTCTAAGGACTGCACTCGATGAAAAAATAATAATAAAATAGCCACGCCCTGTACACTATCCATCGTTAATGCCCACCGGATCTGCTACAGACGGAGACAAAGACAGACATGTGTGATCGTAGGATTGATGTGTGTAGACTCTTAAGGACATCAACGTTCGACAACGATCCATTCACGACAATATTAAAATATGTACTGTGACTTCATAAATAGCCGTGGTTTAGTGTGTAGACACTCGATTTTGAGTTATACGGATCTCGCTTGATTCACTTTGTATCCGTGTAATATATTATGTAAAACCATTATTTCGGTCTGCCGTCATTCGAAAATGGATAAACAAATATCACTATACCAACAGAACAGTTAAATCGAGTCTCTGGTTGAAATTGCTGTAACAAAAAAAAAAACTCTAATGATTCAATAAGACAATTCAACAAAACTCTACGTCGACCCAATGTTTGCATGTTTTAAATACTTAAAAGTTTTGCAGTGGCAGTTTAACACAGCAAATCCGAGCATTAGCACTTGGGCACTTACCTGTGCGGTACCTGGCCTACTAAGTACTAACCCCTCACAAAATACAAATTATGTATCTATTAAATTTGTGTAAAACAAAAATCGAGCCAGATGTATGGTTCCTAATTCCTATACTTATTATTAAAAGTCAAGATAGGTATAAAAAAAGTATAAATACAGTTTTACTGTATTATTAAAAATTATTAGACTAAGTTAAAGAAAATTAAAAAACGCTTGAGTACTGATGAATGTTGATGATCATTTTACAACAATAATTCCACTTACAAATTACAATAATTATAATATAAATCCACCTTGGTTGAGACATTCTATAACATAATATTATGTTGATAATTAGTTTAAAAAAAACTATCAAAACATTAAAATATATGTTTATTACATAATAGTAAGATACTCAAATGAAATACGTTGTTTAATTGTTAAGTAATAACCTCAACGATAAATACTTCTTAAACTTGTTTATCAACATAAGATGTTATTAAATAAATTATATTATATTAGTACAATGTAAAAAAAATATTTATCTTTATATATAATAATTAACATATATCTGTATATGATTTTACTATGAGCCCATTAAAGTGATAATGGCCACCGTTATTTTTCGAAATTTACTCATTACAATAATTAATATTCTAATTTGTATATAGGTAACTAATCGGTTGAATCCCAAATACATATATTATAATGTATTAACTATATTATACTCGGCTTCAGTCCAAGGCTGGGCAAAAGTAAAGTTAATAAGTTAAATTTATAACGTTAAAACTAACTTAATAATAGTTATTTTTTTACCTAAATCATCAACTGCATTTTTTTTAGTTTCCAAATTAACCAACTAATTTGTTGTGCAAAAAAATAACTGGAAGAGAAAAGAAATAGTTTGGAAACAAAAAAAAAGTTTTTACGAATAAATACTAAAACTTTCTAGTGTCTACCAAACCGATTTATAATAATATTTTCTATGGGGGCTTAAAGACAGATTTTTTTATTTTTGTTTTCAAAATTGTATTATAATCATTTATATTTTTACTTTTTCATAGTTTTTTCTAATAAATCTAACTAATTCTCAATAGCTAAATCAAAGATCATTAATAAAAAAAAATTGAAATCCGTCCAATAGATACACCAGGAAATGACTTCTACAAAAGTAATTTGTTATCAAACTTGCGCCATAACTCAAACTCACAATAACTTTAAAAGCTTTATAACTAGAAAATCTTAATATTTTTTCTCCTTAAAATCAGACGGTATTTATTTAAAATGGCCACTAGATCCATGTTTGTCAAATATTTGTTTCTTAATAAATAGGCTTTCCGTTTCCCTTATTACTTAATAAAAAATAATAATAATGTATAGATTTTATTGGGTTTTTTAACTGGTCTGTAAGCCTTAAGTTGTTTAAATATTTCCATCTTGAGCGGATACGAACAAATTACACAAAAAAACGAGTTTCTCGGCCATCGATGAGAAATTATTATTAAAACAAAGTATTATGTTCGAACAAATCTTACAACACGATTGAAAAGCGCGATAATTTCGTTCCGGATTTACCGTGGCCGCCCTCGACCATTTATCTCTACCGTCTATGTAATTTACACATATCGCCCTCACGCACTCTATACTATAATAATCAAATTAATGAACATTATTTTTCCCTAATGACTTTATTTTCAAAAAAATTAAAAACCGGACACTATCCAACGTCGTGTCAATAACCATTGAACATTTCATAATATTTTTGTCTATTCATAAATCTCTGTTTTGAGGATTCTCAATATTTAACAATTATAAAGTAAACAATTCTGCAAATTATAATAACAATATTTTAACTCACAAGTTCGTTTTCTTTATTTATAGTATATGTGCCACAACTACCACTCCTCTCTATCAGTTATAATTTGTTCTTATATGTATATTTTCCAGTACCCTATCTAACCTAAGATACATAGATAATTAGAAGACGGCATGTTATGGCAATTTTTGCGTTTGAACACGTGATTTTTTTTCTGTTATCAGCCGAACTTGCCTTATACCTTTTGACCCTGACAAACTTAGTTTTTTGCAAAAACTTATCTACAATAGTAACATTTATGTCTTTCAGTTTCGAGGAAATCGTACGCCAATGGTAATCCATGATACTAAATTGTTTTTCCAGGTTCAAATAAGTACTAAAAGTTAAACATTTTCACATCCATGTCTACTTTTTCAATCCTCAATCTACCGTACCGATCCAACAACTTTAAAGTCAGACGTTTAAGTCCAGATAACCTAACGGACAGTTATAAGCTCAAAAATAGTTTGCGGATTTTACCCGTGTCGGTCCTGTATTATAAATTAACCACGGTGGCCGCACAATCAGAGTGGTCGACAACTAGGTAATTTTTTTTTTTACATTTCTAACGCGATTATTACATATTATACACTCCCTCGGCTCGGTCGTCCGGCCGGGCTGATTTCTTTATATTTTTTTTTCTTCTCGTTCTTCTTTCATAATTAACATCGCCGTCGAAATATTATTATATACCTACGCGCTATTATAATAACACACACCGCGGTTGTGATTGGGGCAGAAACAGACTGGTCATATCATATAGGTATGATGATCGTGTGTGGTATACCGGCGATGGACTTCCTGATATCGAAAACGGGTACGATCATTTATTATATTAATACGATCTTATCGGGTCTAAGAACGTTGCGCGGGGCCAAAGATTATTTAGCGTCCCGAGGTGGACCGCGGTCGTGCCCATTCACGATACCGTCGTCGTCGTCGTCGTCGCCACGGCCGTCTCCGGGTGTATAATATGTAGTTGTGGGCGGATAATATAAAATATACTATGGACAAAAAAAAAAAAAATACCCTAAAAAAATAATATCTAAGTCACCGGAAACGTAATGTAATATGTTATAAATCGAAGCACGGTAACAAAAAAAATACATCTTATCAGCTTCGTATCGAAGCTAAATATTATACATATTCAACTAGTATAATATAATGTGTATAATGTGTGTTTAAATTTTATGTAATCGTGTGAAATCCTGCGGTGGCCGTTGGGTTGGGGACGGTATACCGCGTCCGAGCCTGCCGCGTGTACTCGAGTGGTTGATATGCATATTATCAACTCTAAAATATGCTGAAAGTATATCACAGGCCGTAAAACAGCCAGAATCTGCGGCATAAATAGTGGATGGGATAGGTGTTTAGCCCCCTAAAAGGCCTCATCTGCTTATTTCAAAAATCATGATTATTTTAATGTTACGCTGTTCACATTAGGTATATTACCTTTCAAGTCCAAAACGCTTCTTGAATTATTAGAGTTTAAAGGTAAAGGCGAGAAAAAAAGTGCGGTGACGAGTGACGGCCCATCATTGTTTGTATAGGAACTTTGCTCCATAAACAAAATAAATAATAGTGTAGGAGGTTGTCATTTAAAAACTCGAGTTAATGGCAATATAATTGATATTTTTATTTTTGGAAAATTAAGATCTGTGTGCAGATTAAATCTATGGTAGAATAGAGTAATGACACAAGTTGATATCACTTCAACGGCAATGTATATATTTTCGAGCACGTGTTAGAGCAAAATAGTGAACTCCATTTGTGTGGAATTCAAAAATTCGACGATTGTCGAACAAAGCACAGACGGGAACACATAATAGTTGTCGAAATCAATCTTACCTTTGCAAAACTCTTTTGTATGGTCAAATGTCTTGACGTGGGCCTGGAAATCGTCAACGTCTATTTCATAGTCAGAGCAATAGACAGTGTTGCATCGTTTGGTTTTGTTAGCATCTATTACGAATTCTTAGGTTTCTTTTTCTTTACTACTATCGATAACCAATCTTGAAGCTTCGTCGTCATCGATGGTGTCTGTTGACGTGTTGTCCAGATATGCGTCGTAATCCACCTACATAGGAATAGGTCGCCTTAAAAAGTATAAATGCGAAGAAAATCGTATTGTATGCATAGTTCAAGACAAAAATCAAGAAGTTACCCTGACGACCAAACAGAAAAGTTAAATTTTCTCTGGCCAATATAAACAAAAAACTCACAACCTTCGTATTTAAAATATCCCAGATAAATTACGCATTAACGGCATTATCTACTGTCAAATTTGTTTTCGGTTTATCCCGGTTTTGAGGATGAAGGAGTTTTTTTTACTATTTATCCACCAAAGTACGACATCTTAACATTTAACTATAAAACAGCTGTTGCTAACTAATATTACAAAGTAGGTATCTACTATAATATAAAACGAAATTAACACATAATGTACACCGCACACGGTAGGTTAACTATAATATAATAAAATACCGCGTACCATTTACCATACCGTGTTCTATCAGAAACAATATAATAGAAGGCGTAATTTCAAGTCTTCCGGATTGAAGGTATAAAAATATTAATAAATGATAGTAGTTAATTATATTAGGCGTACACTTATGGTGGCGGTATTAGTTATTACTGGACAAACCACACTTGTACCTAAATAGAGATTTATTTAATGTTTTAGACGAATATCATAATGCACACGGTTGATATATTAATAACAGTATACTTTTAGCTTCGGGTGAGTAGGTAATAAATAAGCAAAAATCTCGTAGATAATTCTATACCTACACTTAAATGCATGTTTCAACTGAAATCACTCTAGGCTATTTGACATAATATTATCAGGAGACTGGACTCCTAATGAAGACATCACTGCGAGATATACCTACAGCCAATTTTTTTCCAACAGCCCACACTTTTACTGAAGCTGTAAAAAAAAAATGGTACTCTCGTGTGCACTGAATTAAAATTTAAAAATATCATATTTATTGGAAGTAAGCAATAGATGTAAATGAACTACAATCGAAACTTGAAACTTCACAACTGAGCGCAGTCAAGCATTTGTATTTAAGTTTTATTAACAACGTTAACACATTCAACTCCAACTTTTATCAACTACTATAGTGATTTTTGAGTCGCTCTATTTTATTCAACGAGATACATTTTTTTAAATTTTGACTTCAGAGTGTTCAGTTATGCAGTTATGTAAACAATGTGTTGATATTTCTGAAAATATAATATTTTACAGTAAAAAATTTTTAAATAACTAAAAATAATTTTGAAAAGTTTTTATGATAGTCAATAAATTATTTTTTCACGTCATGAAGAAATCAAAAACTTTCGGCTTTAGGTTGAAGTTATAAACTTAAATATTTGAAAATGAAAGTTTTTAAACACGTGTTTGAAATGTTGCCTATACATTACTCCTTAAAATGTATTTATTATGTACCTTACAAAAAATATAACTAATATTTGTAATGTATATATTATGTATGTGTGTGTGTATTATTATAATGTGTTTTTATATAATAACCTATTTCAATAAAAACAAATTTTTATGCTGTCTATCCTAGAACAATGTTATTTAAATGGGAAACTTTAATCAAGGAACAAGGAACAAGGAACTACCTCTAAACATTTTTTGAAAAAATTCAAATTTTTTTTTAGGATGCCCCATAATGGACAACCCGAAAAAAATGTTTTATTGAAATAGGCGAATATATATATACACACAATTAAATAAAAACTAACTAATATTAATATATTAGTATTTATCATGTTGGTTACAGCAAAAAAATTATTTAGTTATTATTTTTGTCCAGTTGATTTAAAATAATTGTTTGCAGATGTATTTTCCATAAGCTATTTAAAATGGTCATTGCTGTGTTATATGTTTGAACAATTGATTATTATGAATTACGGTTAATTAGCAAAACCGGCCAACAAATAAAAACTAACAAATTTGTTTCAGGTTATTCATTACGTTTTTAGTTTTATTTGAGCAAAAAACACATGTTTCTAAAAATGAGTAATGATAACATTATTGAAGTCGAACCAAATATATATTTATACATGATAACCGTAACATAGACTTTGAAGCAATATAAAATATATATATAATTCACAAATAGATCGTTAAAAATATATCACAAAAAGCAAAAAAAAAAAATCCTAAAATAGTACTTTGTTCACATAAGGTTATTGGTAAACTAAATTTAAATTGTAGATACTGTCAAGACAACAGAATGTGAAAATGTCTTTTAAATATAAACTTATTAAATAATCAGTAGGTATTGGACACTTAAATTTATATTTTATATAATAGAATACATTTTTTAAGTCTCAAACTTAAATTCCTTATATAATTAATAATAATTGTTAATTATATTTCAATTTAAGATTGAGTATGTCTCTCCCAAACTTCAATAAAATTACTATGCATAAATGCGTCCTGGTACATTTTGTTACCTTATGATTAATTAAATATTTTAAATTAATACCATAAAATCGTTTTCTATAATATGTACAATAAAATAAATACTGAAATTAAATACATAGTCTAAATACAATGACAACAACCATCAATAATCGATTGTTCATTTTCCTCATCGTTGAGCAATACGTGATGTCAAATTTTTTTTTTAGTACTGTTTGATGGTGTATACACTCGTTCCAACAGCCCTCTTAATATATTTCCAGGTATACGCTGATGTTTGCTTATTAGTTCTTCTACTGCACTTGCCACCTGAAATAAGTCAAAAACCAAACAATTAATATGCCTCGTAAACGTTCTTTAAAAGTTTATCACAGTATAATTTGTGGTATTATCCGAAACAAAAAAATATCCAGGTCAAGATATCTAAAACTATAATATCTGAAAACCCAAACATCCAAAACCTCAACTATTCAGAAACTAAAAAACCCAGACGTCTAATTATCTAAAAACTGAGGAATTACTTTTTCTAAATAAGTCTCTCCAACAGTGTATATTAAGTGCAACAATTAAGTACGATGTGCTAATTCAGAGAGCGTATCAACAAATGAGTGTGCGTGAATTATGTACTGTATTATAGCATGATTATATTATATTAATGTTTTTATTGGTGATTATGCAAATATCAAACATAACTAAAAATATGTATACACAAATGTTTAATGCGTTACAAATTGTAACCGTGCCTTATGCCAAATTTCATGTTTCATTTCAAAAAGCTAAAGTAATATTAGTAAAAATTGTTGCTATAAGAGAACAAAAAAAACTGCCAATATTTTTCATTAATGTATAGAAATGAATTGAACAAAGAAAACAAAAGTACACAAATTCTGCAGAACACAAATGAAATTTGAACGACTGCCAAAAAGTATTAGGATTTGGTTAGATCATCAGTTTACCCGTTTACCCTTAAGCCTCAATTAAAATTTCCGATTGATTTAAAGATATCAAATCATTTCATCGTAAATTTTTATTATTTTCACTGTAATATATTTTTATAGAAATTTGATAAAAGAAAAATAGAGAATTTTAATAATATTTATTTATTACATTTATGCAGCACATATTTTGATAATGAAAATTTCAGATTGGTTATTAAAAAAGGGATATACATTTTATAGAGCACATACATTTTTATATAGGTTCTGTTAAATATAATAATAATAATATTCATAAAAATAATTTTGGAATTATTCTAAACAATTTTCTGGGCACTTAAATCTTAATACTATTATTATAAAAGTTTGTTGAAAATTAATTTAGAAAAATTATACCCGATAAGATGAAGTATCAACTGTTGTTTTACACAAGAAAAAAATATAAATGTAAAAATGTCTTTTTTAAATGTATGAGAATAAACATTCTCTATGAACTAGAAAAAAGAAAAATTAAAAATAATTCAGTCTCTGGCATTATTTAGTAGTGTTTGAATTTTATTCACCATACATTACCTTTTTTTGCAATTCTTCAGCTGACAAATTTGGATCAAATGGTATTGGTTTGCCAATATGTGTACGCAGTTTAACAGGAAACCAACCATAAATTGGAACAATCGGCAATCTAGTCCATAGATATATTCTTAACCAGAACCGACGACCTATTCCAATCGAACGGAAAGCTTCACGGAGATTCTGCGTAAAAACTGGTATGATTGGCTAAATAAATGTTTCAAAAAATAAATAAGTTATTTTACAATTTTTAATTATACATTGCATGTTATAACTTACAACTTTAGCATCAATAGCCACTTTAGCAAAACCTAAACGTTTCTTCCACATTAGTCTATAGTACCTATCTCCAAATTGTGCTTCATAAACACCTCCTGGTGAAATTGCTAATAGATTATTTTGTTTTAATATTTCTGAACAAGACTGAACAGTACCCGGTATAACTTTTAATGGTTCAGATATTATTGACCAACCTACAAAAAAAAAAAATTATTTAAGAAAATTATTTGAATTTATTCATTATTTAGTTCTGAAAAATGTTTACCAGGCAATTTAAATAAAAAATGATCAGCTACAGTGTGCACTAATTTTGCTTTCATTAAATATATTTTTGAGATCATATAATATAAATCAATAGGAATAGCACCATGATAATAAACTAAAAGTGCAGGACTGTCAATTGGTACATTTTCCAAGCCATTAACTTCATAACCTATAAATAAAGATAAAAAGATTACAAATACATTTTTGATTTAATGTTAATTACAAATTTACCATGCCAAATCCATCCATGGGCATCCCAAAATGCAGCAACAGTATGCAACGCACCATCCCAAAAATTGTTTTCGTATGCATTAATAAGTCTTTCCCTAAAAACAAAAACAATAATTTACAAATCGTTAAGAATTTAATCTATTTCTTCAATCAAAGTTTTGCAGCAAAATTATTTCTTTAAAAAGATATTGGTTATTACAAGGGCTGTGTAATAATATAATTATTAAAATAATAACAGCTTTGATGCAGAGCTGAGAAGACGTTGTTTTATAATGACAATTTTTTTTTTTTTTGTGCCTGGGCTCTTGGTATTTCATAAATTTCTGGACTAATTTCTTAATGTAGCAAGTCTGTAGACCAGAAATCGTACTTGAGAGGTATTCTATAAGACCAAAAGTTTAAAATGACACCACTTTTCTTTCGAAATTGAAAAAAAAAACCTAATAAGTTCACATTTTTTTCAACTATAATAATTATGGCGTGTTCTAACTTTTTGAAAATTGTCTAATTACTTTCAAACTTGTATAGAACATTTATTGTTAGGGACAGGGTGGCCAAATAGATTAAGGCGGCGGTGCTGGCATACAACATTGCTAGTTTGACTCCAGTTACGGGCGATCTTTTTCACAAGGCAGAACAATCTTTCTAGGAGAAGAGCTTGTCATCCCCCCTACTAAGCATGGCAAAAATGTCATGCGCCACCTGGCGACCAAACTAGTCCTACTGGTTTAGTCAATAATGCCATATGCTAAATAAATAAATTATTGTTTTGATTACGATGTATAGGTAACAGCTACAAATTATTAGTACGTCTATTCTAATAAGATCCAGACCCTTATCAAATTTACCCTATTACTAAACATAAAAATCAAGAATAATTTTGCCTTAACAATATATAATAATTATACTATCAACAGATTCTCATTAAATCATTGATTTAAAGTTATTTTATCACTTTTGGTTATAACTATTAAATTATTATTTATTTTATACAATAATTCCATAGACCGTAACCTCCCTGATCCCATTATGCTCTGTCCCCACTGTGCTGCTTTTTTGTTAGCATAAATTGAATACTTGAGTTTTTTTTTTTTTTTACAAAAATAAATAAATAATTTTTGATTGTAGATTAAATTAAACCCTATTGTGTTACAACTGTGGTAGTTTTTAATAGTTATCACTCTGAATTCTCATAATTCTTTAAATCCTTGAGTTTAGTAGTCAATTTTTTTACCTACTCAACTAATTATGTTTTCTCACAAAAAATTATTAGGCATCTAAATGACCATGAATGAGTTATTTACATATAATTATAAATTGGTACAAAATTAATAGGTATGCACAGTAATTTACAGCAAAAGTCTCATTTTATATCCAGAAGGTAGAAAGTATTCATAAAAAAAAAATGAATATATAACCGACACTTTTTAATTGTGTTATAATATTTCAATACTGTAGGTATACTTGTTAAGCGTAAAAAGTGACCTTGTAATAGATTTAATTACATTCGCCAAATAAGAAAATCAATTAAATCGTAGTTTTATATGAAATTTAAAAGATACAGTGAAAAATTACATTGATAAAAAGTCAGATGGTGGTCTGATTGCGGCATTTACTATGGCATTACTGTTATTAACTAATAATTAACTATGTTAATGTTATACTAATGTACTAATGTATATTAACTATATTACTTCGCTGTCTATATATGCTTAAAATATCTGATTATATTACGCCTATGCACTATGTTATTTACAAAATTTGGCACAATCTAACAATAGCCATGTTTAAATATTAATATTTATTGGCCTTAGATGGTTTTACAAAAGTAATTTTAATAAGGTCAACCCATAAGGAATTTGAAATTAGAAATTCTATAAAAAAAATTGATGACTAAAGTAACTTTTAAAATATATTTTCTGGGCAATATTCAATAAAATATATTTTAAAATTTGAAGTTTTTACTTACAAAAGATAAGTTTTCAGCTATAAATCATAATATCTATGTATTAAGCATACTAATTTACTCATACCAAAGGTTTAGGTACTTCATACCTTAATGTACAACTTGACATGGTAAATGATAAAATAATTTATTCTTAACATTTAAATAATAGTATTTTTAACTTAGAAACGTACCTGTGGAGTTTGTAGATATATAATATAACTCCTGTGATATAGAATAACAGCACTATAGTTAGCGGTAACAGAAATGTGACGATCAATGGCCAGAGAAGCCATGTCATCCACAACCATAAATCAACATCTACTCCATGATAGTGTACTACATAATAACATAATTACTGAATTAATAACTGATTTAATAAAAACATAATATTTAAGGGAAAATACTAACCTGTAAATGAAGATGTAGAGTTGTTAGCGCTACTAAGAAGCGACAACATTGTTTTGCTTTATCCGTTTGTAGAACTATTTCATTTATTCTTTAATGCACAGCTAAAGGTCTACAACATAATTTACCATATCAGGTCGTTCCTCTTGTCAAACACATCTTAGTCAGTGAAATGAGCAATAAAAAATATCAATACCACTAGTGGTAATAATATGCTGACAATGCAGGCTACAGGGCAGTGAAAATGTGTTTTATTTTTCTTCTATCGATAACGAACGGGTCTCATCGACCACCGCCGATGTTTCAATGTATATATATATATATATATATATTATTATAATTATTACTGTCTACTATAGTCTATTTTTTACTAATCCAAAACATTCAGCAAAAATAGACATGTATACGCTATACAAACGTATACAAATCTTGTCACTCGTTGATAAAAATATTGTATACAGTATGATATCGATATTCAACTTGTGGTAAAAAAAAATTGAGGATAATTTTAAACTATAGAATAGCTCGACACGTCAAGCGCAAGGTAGGGTTGCTGAACGTGTGCTGTAAGGTGTTTGTTATGGTTTCCAAAACACCTGTTATCTAAAGCAGCTGATACTATCTTGCCGGCGGCTTGTTATCATGTAGTTTAATAACAATCATCTTTTATCAATGACTCAAGTGAACTCGACAGAGTTACTCCGCACTAGTCGTTAGAAAATCGAAACTAGGTCGCTGGCAAACCAATCTACGAGTTGGGAATTAAAGCAAAGAGGACTAAATCCCCTTAATAATGACGGGAAGTTGGATGGATCATAGGAAGTTCCCGTTAACTGGGTAGATCCCCAGTATTAAATAGCAAGCAAGAGAATATCGGAATAATTAAATATATAATTATACCTACACTTCAATTATTTATTCTTTATTCGGTTATTCGATTTTTCATCAATTTTTAATTATAATATTAAAATATAATTTTTAATGGCAATACTTAAAAATGTATGTACAACAGTTATTGTTTTTATAAATAAAATTTTACACAACTCTGATGAAGTACAAAAAGTCAATACTTACATAATAATCAATACACTTATATATAGTATAATAATTGACGACGGAAACTGTAACGGACACATTTTGTCAAAAATGTATTCTAACAGAAACTGATAAGTTAGATAATATCATTGCTTAAAATTACAATATATTAATAATCAATGGTAATAGGTATGCAATGGTATTGCTTAGTCTAACTTAAATGTTATTCAACAATTTACTAAACTTAAATACTCATCGGCCAAGCCCATTACTTTTGTCTCCCGCCAATTTATTATTAATCCTAAATAATAAACAGTTATTGAGTTATACAATATTGAAGACATAAATAGTTCAATAACGTATTATATTATAGATATAAGAGATTCGTCCAACATTAAGATTATATATATATATATATATATTTATAAGTGAAATCCGAAAGGACAAATTATGAATGATAATCTTTATTCTTCTTAGGACAAATTTTTACCTAATATTATGAGTATCATGCAGTTTACTGATTAGTGTTTACAGCATAGACCTCAAAAAGTGTAATATAATTTTAAAGTAACTAATAGTAGACAGTAGACACGTGTATCGTATGTTTAAGCAAGGCTTAAGTCAATACATGTCATGGCCACGCATTTTCGGTAGTCAGAATTAATAATACAAGACGTATTTTTTAATTTTTCCGTAGACATGATTTTGTTTTAAACAGATCAAGCCGTTAGCCGTAGCAGCTAAGGTCAAATAAGTATTTTAATTATTAAAATTGTAAAAGCTATTATCAGTTCTAGTATGCTATCAGTTCTAATGTGATAGCAATTTAACATTTGATTGGTCCTTGGAAACGTTAATTTTTGAAAATAAAACTGATAAGAGAACATGGGATTCGGATAATATTTATTATTTAATAGGTTCATTATAGGTATTACAGTTTATAAATAAAAACTTAACGAACGAGTATAAAGTACAAATTAAAACTCAGGAACTGGGGATTTTTATTATTATTAATTTATTTTGATTTAATAATAAGTAGTATATAATTAGAACGTATCATTTAACTAATAATTTTTAGTTAACGTTCATGTAAACTTAGTATTTGTTTTGTGGAATATTGAAAAAAATAAGTATGATGGAAATCAATAGTACGTGTAAGTCTACGCTAAAATCTATTGAAAGCTGTTTGGAAAAAATGAAAAAAATGTCCTTATTGCCGTTTCCAGTTTATGAAAGTAAGTCGATAGAATTATTTTCTAGTATCTAATGCATTTTTAAAAAGGTTATTATTAATGAATGGGTTGTTTACAAGCGTAAAAATGTTTAGTACACCTGTAAACCACATATTCTTGTAATTTTCTATAATACTATTTTTTTTTATTATAAATATTAAAAAAATCAAATCATTTTATGCGTATAATGATTTGTTTACTGATTATATAAATAATTCTGTGCGTAAAGATTTTTAACTGTCCTTGTTTTTTTTAATTTTGAAAACTTTCATTATATTATTGACCATTAGGTTAATTAAAAATAATGTTATACATTACTAAAATAATACTACCTTATCTCCTTTAACAATCTCATAGCATGAAACATAATCAGAAGACTAAGAAATTAAGGAGCTAACCTAACTGTTTGATCCTATTATTCTTGTATATAATTTTAGACATGAATAAAGCAGCAGCCTATACTAGTTTTTGTTTAAAAAAATATGAATCTGCAGCTTTCTATCTTTCTGAATCACATGGAGGAGGAATTCGTTCAAAACTATCAGTATCTATAAACCCTAAGTATGTACCGTGTCATGGTTATGGCGCGTGCTAAGTAAGAAGAAAAATTACAGTATCTTACTGTACCTACTAATATTAAAAAATTTTGTATTAAATAATGAGCATTTTTAATTTTATTTAAGTACACCTAGTGACAAGAAACTTGATGATTGTCTATCATTAAATTCTAAATATGTTTCTGATGGATATGATGGCTTAATAGATCGGTTAAACGATATGCCGTCCGAATGGACATTAATTCAAATTACGAGAAACTTTAGTCCAAAAGAAATAGTCACTCCTAGACCGGCAGATAAAACTGTAGATATGAATGAACTTTTTGTGACTAGATATCAGTGTGGTTATAACGATAAAAAAATGTAAGTATTCTTTTTACATCGGGTTTACGTCCCCAAATTGTGTCTATGTACAAATTGTAAAATGTAAAATGACATAAGAGTCAAATTTTGTTTATCTAAACTAAACAATTTTAGAGTACCATTAACCGTAAAGGTTAGTAAACCACATATCAGTCTTGGACAAAAAACAATTTTTGAAGTATTAAAAAAAAGTTTAGATGATTCAAATAATAGAAAAATCAAGGATCATGCCACAATACGCAATTTAAGAGAAGCTGCGTCAGAGTCAATTAAAGTCAGTAACAGCTAATAAACTAATTCTAATTGAATTTTAGAAAATAAGACAACCCAAAAACAAACAAAAGTTGTGAAGAAAAATTGTTTTATCATTTAATTTAAACATTAATTAAAAATAGATGTTATTTCTTTAAAAAATTGATCTAAAATAAGTTTGATCCATACTAGGCTATAATTCATACAAATATTTTAAATATTTATTATAAGTATTAAAATTTGATGAAGTATAAAAAACAAAAAATGAGTATAATTTAAAAAACAGAGTAAAATGGAAAAAATATAGCAAATACATACCTATGCATAATCTCCAAGGTAAATAACCTTATTTTTTACTTTTGTTAAAAAGTTTGTAGTACATAAACATTGCGTAAAATTAAATATTGTTTATTATTTCTTTATATAAGTAGCATTTCCCCTTATATTTTACTTACTTTAACTTAATTACTTTTTCTTTTAAATATATTATGTAATTTCTTTCAGGTTTGTCATGATATTTTTATGTACTAACATTTTTATTTATTAAAATGGTTTTTTTATGTATAATTACTAATAGAGTATATCTCAAGAAATTCATACATGTTGGTTGAAGCATTGGATTTGTATGTTAATGGGTAACTATGTAGATAAAAAACTAGCAGCTGAAGTTCATGATATTATAGACAATGTTATTGAGTAAGGATGATGTTCTTTTAACAAAATATTTTTGAAGTATTAATTCATGATATTGTATTTTGTAGAAAAGAAAAAATTACCATAAGTGACCGGTCCAGAATGATATTGTACCAGATAACTAATGCTGCAGTCCAATTAAATGAAATTGAATTAGATTATGTTCTTCGAGAAGTTGATTGCACTAATGAAGAGAAAAATAAATTTCAAATAGCTATAAATATGTATCGATTAAATGGATCTCATTTAGTATTGAAAAAAAGACATCCCGTCATGTTAATTCTAGACGAGGTATACTTATAAATTATTATAAATCCAATTTAAAAATTATAATGAATTTATATAGAAATGCTTGCTTAACTAACAAAGTATTTTCCTAATTTTAAGCATTTGGAATGTTTGCCGTGGGAAACAATACCTTGTTTGAAGAGGCATCCAGTTTCTCGTATTTCATCAGTACATATTGCCCACAGATTATTTATAAAACACAAGAAATCTATTCGAAATGGTTTGATGTAAGTTTAAAAGCTAATCTACAATGTAGCCATTTCAAAAACCCTTGTTGGTAATAAGATAATAAAGCAAGAGTAAACTATGGGATAAAAAACCAATTATATTATTAAAAATATAATATTATTATAATTAATAAAATATCTACCAATAATCAATAAATAAAAAAAAAACATTTACGTAACAGTAATTTTTATCATTCATTTTTTTTTTTTTTTTTTTAAGGGAAATAAGTAGTAAAGGCTACTACATGTTTAATACAGACAAAACATTACCTAATGCCGAAAAAAGAATGTTAACATTTTTAAGAGAGAGAAGTATTGACTGGCAAGGAATAAAAAGTGAAGAACCTTCTGCAGACAAATTCACCAAAATATTGCAACAATACGATATTATTCTGTAAGTAAGAATACTATATTATATGGATACTACTTATCAGTCAAGATTCAGACTGACAAGTTACTAAATATCCATTTGTCTATGTATGCTTAAGTTTATATATAAATGTATACATCCTTAATAAATTATTAAATTTAGATACTGCGGACACGGAAATGGAACACAGTATTTGCACAGTTTAACTTTGGACCAATTAGAGCTCCAATGTATACCCATGTTATTCGGATGTTCTAGTGCTAGACACACAGACAAGGGGGGAAGGACTAACTTTGTTGGAGCTTCTTATGGTTATTTAAAAGCTGGCTGGTTTGTAAAAAAAAAAAAATGAAGTTCTATATTATTGAAATTCATCTACTAGTTACATAATATATTTATGTTTTAGTCCATGCGTTATTGGCATGCTTTGGAATGTCACCAGTTTGGATGCTGATAATATAGCTCGAGCTATGCTCAATGTTTGGCTTCCCGGTAATCCAATTAATCTTCAAGGTATAAACAAATTATTGAGAAAAACTGAAAGTTATCAAATCATTTCAAATAAACACTGATCCAAAACTATAGATGATGTAAAGCTAGGTTAAATTGTGTTACTTAGTTTGATGTTTGACGTAATACTTCTATAAAAACAAAATCGAATTTGTTTTCTTTTTCTAAAAATATAATACTTTACAACTGAGTTAAGACCTGAAATCAATTGTACCGTTTATTAACTAAAATAATAATTGTAACTCTATATTTATTTATTTATTATGATTAATTGATTGGGCGAGACCAATTACAATTTAAATGTGGAACATAAAATATTTACATAGATAAAGGTTGTTGTGTAGGTACCATAAGTTAAGTGATTAAATTACTAAGATATAAATTAAAAGTAACAATAGAATTACAAATAAACATATCAATATTGAAATTATTCACATGTTGCATGGATCTAATTAAAGGGGTGTTCTTACCATATGAAGTACGCTGGAATGGCACATAAAAGGTATTAGTTTGTCTAGTGGTATGACCAGGAACTAAAAAAGAAATATTTGACAATAGACAATGGACAGTTAACATAACCATTTAAAAGTTTATATATAAAATAATTTCTGTAATATGCAATATATTTTTTTAGACAAATAATGTGTCTAAACATATATATATATATATAATCACGACAATAAGTGTTTTATTTTATTTTTTTCAATAAAAGAAGTGCGACTACAAATTTTTAAAATATAAAATGTTGGTAATGAAATCAGTATATTATTTTCATAATACATGTAAAATATTAAAAAATATCAATAATATTAATTTTATAAAAAAAATTATTACGTTTGTAATCACGTTTTTATTATTTTCTTCCCAAAATAGAAAAAAAAGCTCGACCAGATTATTTAAAAATTGTGTGTTTTATATATTTCTGATTTTTTATCTATATACTTGCTACATGAAGAAATCAGTCCGGTAGTTAAAAAAAATTTGTCGGTACAAAAATAGAAAATATAAACATTTCTTTATTATTATTTCTAAAAATAAGTTCAAATAACAGAAGCACTTAGCTACATTTTTTTATGATTTAATATTATTAAACTATACTTAACTATTTTAAAATTAATATTTTAGATAAATGGCCAAAAGAATTCTTGGATCCTTGTGACAGCAATAAAGAACGAGAACTTTTGAGAACATTAGCTGTAGCTAGGAATACTACCAGAAGTTTTTTCAACTATGCAGCAATAATTGCTCGGGGAATACCTATCATTATTAAAGACTAATACTCAGTATACATTATATTTATTATAGCTAAAAAAACATTTTTAGTAAGTACTAAATTCACTGAAATTTTAAATGTTTATTTATGTTTTAAATTTATGTATTTTATAACTTCGTTTTTGTTTATTTATTTATATTTTACACATAAGATAATGTTTTATTCATTTTACATGTAAATAACAAAATTAGGCTTATATTTTATAATTAATTAAAATGTGTAAATATTCATTTCTTAAACAAACATAAAATTATACCAACTCTAATTGGTTTTAAATTTTTTATCAGAGTTCTATTGCAATTGCTCAGCAATAAATTATAGATTAGTTTGACAAATCACCTTTCCCAATAAACACATCAACATGATATTACTGAAAATAATAAAAAAAAACAATTCTAAACAGTCAAATACTAAATTAAAGTATCATAGCATACTGATGAAATTAAACTTCAACAGTAATTTGAGAATGCAAGATTATGTTCAATTTTTCTTTATTTTGAGGTACATGTAAATGTTGTAAATAGTTCAATAGCACTTTGGTTGTAACAACATATCCAGTGCTTATTTTAGGAGAGAATGGGTAAAAAACCATGGCTCTTGTACAATATTAAATGAAAAATATTAATTTAAGTTAATACAAAGAAATTTTAACTAAGATTATTTAATGTAAAAAAATATATATTGAATAAACTTTTTTTCTTCTATTATTACGTTAACACTGGGAATAAAGTCTATTAAATTGTTTTCATGGAAAATTGTAATAGTAGATTTATATCCTTTTTTTTATGATTTCATTATAGTAAATAAGTAAAATGTATAGCGTTAAGTCAATTTGTTCTATTTTAAGTCTTTACACAAAGTTTTTGTTACAATTAAAAAATGACTAAGTACTCTTTATTATGAATTGAAAAATAATGAATGTATGTAATATTAAGGTACACAATGAATTTTAATAATAAAAATTAGCTACACATAAACAGTGATGACACCAATCAGTTAGTTAGTAGTAAAATCACAACAATCAAAATATGTTTTTTTATAATATTTTTATAATAAACATAAAACAAGTGAAATAAATTATTGATGTATTCTAGCAATAATAACAAATAAATTATCATATTTCTTTAATTTTAAGTTTAAACCTAAATTATTTGGTACAAAGTAGTAATGTAATGATAGTGTGATATTATAAAATTAGTTGTGATTTTTATTATATCACATTTACTTATGGTGCAAAGATTCAATTTAATGTAATTGTATGGTATAAACTCCTTCAATTATGCCAGTAGTACTAATTTTAGTACTCAACACAATTATAATTTTGTAATTAAATTGTTTTTGAATAATGACTATTTTGCATTCTTTGTGATTGGTATTTTGAAACATTTAATGTTGAAATGGTCAGCCATTTGCTTTACCTAAAAATACAATTTGTAATTGGTGTAAACTAACTGAATATTTAAATTTTCATTAAATTAATATAATTTGTCTTACCACATTTGCACCATAATGGATATGAGTCATAAAACTTAATATCGCCATGACGTACATTACCATCAGCTCAAAAGAAGGTAAAACAATAGAAGTAGCTATAGCTATAGCCAAGTAAGTCAATAATGTATTATGGCCAGCACAACGTGTTTTACTCATTTGAGCAACAATCAAACGACACTGAAATAATCAAAGAAAAAACGTCATATTATATAAATGCTTTTAGTTTTTTAATTGAACATAAATAAGAATTTTTCAAACACTTGTTTTAATATACATATTTCAATACAATACAGATGTAACAAGTTTTTTCATATGCCAGCCCACCAACGTTTATTACTAATGTTCATTTTTAAAACAATTATCAATGTACTTACAGATATATTAGAAAATATAGCTCCACTCATCATAAAAAACATTCTTGGGTCTCGTTCGAGAATATTAGTGGGTGAGAATTTAATCCAAATCAAACACAAAGATAAAAACACAGTTAAAGGAATTAAGGGCCGATTTCCTTCGTACAGACTTAGATTTTTTCCAGTTTTATCTCTATAACATCTGAAATGTAAAGTGTACAATTTAATAAAACTATAGTTTTTTTAATTTTTTTTAATGTATAAACGTTAAATTACACATAAATGTTGTATATAGAAACTGGAACATTAGCTATGAATGTTGCAAAATAAAATGTTATCTCTGTAACATGACCAAATGAAAGTTCTTTTATCACAGTCATTTTCCACTTTTCTGGTCCTACAAATGCAGTAATTGCAAAAAAGAATACCAAACCCTGAAAAATGTGAAAAATGAGTTTTGTAGCATTCACAAAAGCTCTTGATGAACCGTAAAGCAAAAGACAAAGAAGAAATGATATATGACACAAATTTAAAACTTACAACCATTGAAAAATCATAACTCCATGGCAAATATAATACTCCTGTGTTATACTTTTCCCAATGTGCTAGATAAAAGTTTATAAAGACCATTAAACATATCAAATACATTCGTATTGGTTGAATAGTAGTTGGATCATCCCGTCCAAATATAGAATACAATGCTGTTGGTATAAAAACCGTTGTCCACGAATCTAAACCATGATCAAACAATTCTCCTAAGGGACTGCTAGTGCCTGTACGTCTTGCTTGTTTTCCATCTAACCCATCTATTTCAATATAAAATAATAAATTAAAAATATGTTCCATGAATAATAAAATATATATTTACCTAATGAATAAGATATGAACATAAATAAAGATACAACTCCGAATACCCAGTTTGGTATTGGAGTGCCTTTATATAAGCTTCCCGAAGCATAGAAACCATAATCATAATAAGAGAGTAGTAGTGAAGCCGCCACAGTAAAAAGGAAACCAACAAAAGTTAATAAATTAGGTGCAATCCATCTAGGGGTAAACTGTGAACAGATTGTTTCATATCAAAAAAGTGCATTAAAAATAATTTTAAAAACATTTGCGCTTACTTTAATTATGGTATTCCAAAAAGGATGCATGATGTAAACACCCAGTGGATTTGTATCGATTACGCTGTACTAAAACAATTAAATACATTTGATAAAATTATTATGTTTTAAAAAATAATTTAAAAATTTTTTATTAACAAAATAATGGTAGGATAACAATTGACACATATAACTTTTAAAAAATCGTTTTCAATTTGTTAATTGATTTATAATAAAGTTTATAAATAAGAACAATAATTAATTAATGAACTTTATAAACCACCAGACTTAAATTATGATATTTTCAACCAGTAATTGTGAAATCAGTGCAATTAAGCACCTAATTAACCATCAAAACAAAAATATTATTATGATAACGTTTTCATTAGTAATATGCATATAAAAAGAACTATGTACACATATTGATAATTCGAAAAAATATGTTATACTTACTTTATAATTGTCAAATCCGTTTAGATGGTCTTTATTAAGATATTCATGATCAAACATGATGATGATGTTGATAGCGATTTGATGTAAAAAAAAATTAATTCAAAATAACTAGCCACTTGCGGTATCAAGTGTAATGCATTAACAATAAATTAACGTAATTCGAAAACATTTTTGGGAGATGGTTTGCACTATTTTAATAAACAAATATTGAAATATGCACTTAATCAGACCAAAAATGTATGAAGTTTAACCGAGTATTGAAACACATAATTGTCAATTATTACTTAACATAAAGAATGCGAATAATATTACACAACACTTATAACTATTATAATATGGAAGTATTAAAACGTTAACGTTACAGAATTTGATCCTTGAACTTTGTATTATTATTTATTTACCGATTTCCCTCTCCGGCGGCCTCTTTTTTTTGTCGGGTTCGACCTACCGGCCAGTGGCCATTATCATTTATCATGCCATACGCTACAAAATATACCTGCTGTAAGTACCATATACCCGGTATGATGCTGGTGGGTAATGCGGTAACGATCAACGTTTTATATACATACATAAATAAATGTTTATATATATGTATATTATACTACAAAACTGGGAAATCTAATGCGCATGTGAAAAGGCAGCCAGGCCCAAGTCAAGACAAATAGCGCTCTCACATCGGCTCGCTGCAAATTGGTACTCCGTCTGTTAGTGCGAGCATAGAATAGATTAAAGAAGCAGGGTCACTTTCAATGTATACAAAAAAAAGTGACGGACATATTGTAACACGATGGTGGTAGGTTACTATGATGCCAAGAACTACGGCTTATCATATACACGCCCAAAGTATATGAATCGATAAAAAGCATATTTTGGGAACTTACGTTGTAAGTGACCGCGATTTTCTATAATTTAAAAGCAGGTAACGACTAACGATGTACCGAGCTTAGACTTTTAGCTAACTACATCTTCTATGCGCCCTCTCGACTTAACTTGAACTTTTTAATTTAAAACATTTATCAAAATATAATACAGCATCAAAATTACACAATGTTGTTTTGGGTACTCTTATTGATTAAGTTTTTTCAATATAATAAAATAATTTTTATAAATTATACCTATATTATAATTTATAAAATACATTCAGTTTTTACAAACTGTAAACTCTGTAAATTTAGATGTCAGTATCCGATCATTTCAAGTACCCGATTGTACCAGCTATGTTCCCAACCAATCATGATGTGTAGGCAATTCGGCTATTTTTTCAACGTGATTTCTATTAAGTTAAAATTAAATGTTATTAACATTCAAATTAAAAACTAGTCTAAAGTTTGATAAGAATAATAATTTTAAAACAAGAAATATAATACTTTTTTTTTTACTTCGAATCGAGTTTTAGATTTTTTCTAACACGCTAATTTATACGTTTTAATATAAAAAATAAAAATAAAATTTTTTTTTTAATTACAAAAAATTACACGTTCTAAATTGATAAAACAGTTCTGAATTCGACAAAGAAAATAGAATAATAATTGTTCAAAGTTCAAATGTACAAAACACCGCAAAAATTGTTTTTCTTCACAAGTATTTCAACTGATATCATCTATTACCTTCTCCTGGCACGGTCCAAGTGTATCTTCATCGTTTTGGTTTAAGAATTATAGACTTCTAAAATTAAAACCTAACCTTATCTGAATTGATAGCAAATACCACCAATACTAATTCTACGTAAAACAAATATACTTGAAAAGTGATTACATTTCATAATTTATAACTAATTAGTTAAGTTAATAGTAAGCAATAATTTTAATCTTTTAATTTTATATAATTAAATACAAAATTAAAATTAAATATCAAATAGTTTTAGCTTTGATGTAGATCTAAGAAGGTGTTGGTATATTGTATGAAATCCCAAATAACTGAAGGTATGAACGCAAACAATTTTGGAGCGATTTTGTAAGCACACCCAAGTTACCCTCCTAAAATAGCACATAATATAAACCATACAATTTAAACCTACCCTGATCATAGTTTCAACGACCATTGGTTTACCGTAATCTCATGTTTTTTTTTAATATTCTCTTTTGTTACTCTTTCTTCTGTAATGGTTTACATTTCTTAGATATACAATTATATTAATTTTAAAACACTACTCAGCTTTTTAATTATTCTTATTTTGCAAAATTCAAGTGCGCGTGGCAATCAACTTCCGCGAAGAGACTTATCAAACTAATCAACAGCTAACGGGCTCACTGTAATATCTACCGCAAATGAACTATAACTTATTGAGATTTTATCAAACCTTTTAAGTTCTAAGTATATTTGCTATGTAGTATGTATTAACATACTTTCGAGCTAATATCAATTTTAAAAACGGCAATTATACGTCTTAAATTATGAATAACCACATTGAACAAAAGTATATTATGCATTAGGTAGCAAGAAAATTAATTCAGATGATTAAGTTTATTATGATACTAAGAGATAAAGAAGCAATCAGAGTTGTAATGGCATCGAAGGCAGAAGAAAAATTTAGTAAAACATGGTTCAAGTGTTAATAAAATGCTATTCATATGCGACATTTATAAATAAGTAATAGCACAATATAAGGTGACCTTCTAACTCAATGAGAGAAAAAATAGTTTATATCCAATCCGGAACATAATAATTTATGATAAATAGAATTGTCATAAACAACAAAAAACAATGAAAACATCCGGGTATCTAAAAAAAGTAGTTGTTTGGTAATCGTATATTTTTCATCGTTAATGCGCATTTTTAATTTTTCTATGATAACTTGATACATAACTTCGTTATATGATATAAATTCAGTAATTTGTCGTATACAGTTATTAAATACATTATACGTAAATAATTATACAAGAGTATATAGAGTTTCTGCATGTGTATCAAAGCAAAAATGAAAAACATCGTAGCTGAAAAATTCGTTGTGATTAATGTTTTAACGTAAATTTAAACCATTACGTTTTTTGTGCCTGCAGGCACAATGACTTTTTTCTCTTAGTTTCACATTAAACGCATTCTAGTATAATCCTGAATCTTCATCTATAGACAATATTTTCATAGAATTAGGACTTAAATTGGTAAACTATAAAAAGTGCACTATTTGATTTTCCATATAATTCTGTTGTATAAAGTATGTTTAGGTTTTTTTCTTTACTCTTTTTTTTATTGTTTGCTTACAGAATCTTCGGAAATAAAAAAATATATTTATATTAAAAAACGGTTTTTATGTAAAATAATCTCAGCTTTCTGCTAAAATATTGATTTTTTTTTTTAGTAACAGAAAGTCATTAAAATTGAGTTCATAATTTTAAAACTTGATTTGTTCGTGTTGTCCAAAATTTGTGGATTTTTCTAATTTTTTTTTCAGTAAGATGAGAAAATTTTACATAAAATGTATAAATTTCAAACTGAGTTCTCCATAAAAACGATTAGAAAAACTAAAAAAAAAAAAGAGGTGAAAAAACGACCATAGTAATCAAAGTAGTTGAAAAAACTATGTGTATATAAAATAATTTCCTGTTTTTTCGACTTGATAACATTTTATATATATATTGCCATTTTTTAGATTCGAAATAAATATTTTAATAAAGAAATAAAATTTCCCATGTTGATAAAATGCTAAAAACATCATGACAAAGTATTTAGAATGGAGCTAGGGTTCTGAAATTTAAGAGATTTGTAATGAAAGAACCCCTGACTATTGTTAACGTACATTAATATAATAAAGTACCAGGTTTTTTCTATTAAAAAAAAACCTTCCAATCAACTCATTATATGTATAAGTATAAACACTATACAATTATTTTATTCTTATTATAAACATTTTAGTTGATACCATATAAGTCATACAGTATGACTTGTAGTTTTTTTTTTTGTATTTATTTCCAGTTATAAAATATTGTCTTTTAAAGTATATGTAATATTATGTTTGAAAACATGTTACTGTTTATTACTCAAATAGGCAAAAAATAGTATATAAGACAACAATTATAGTTCAACTAGAATCATTCATGATTCAAGTTTACTTAAGATGAGGTCGACAACTATTTTATTGGCTTTGGCCGCGTATTTCATATTTTCATTAGCAGGTAAACTAATAGTGTACAAAACAATTAAAACCATATTTTCTGTAATTTTTTCGGGTTTGTTTTGTTTTCAGACACTGATGTCAATTATTACGTGGACGAAAGTACGTTACCAGAAGCATTACCAGAACAAATGCGCAACCAGTACAGCGACAAGGAAATCGAATTAGCCATAAGAGATGCTCTTGAAAATCAATACAAAGTTGTGTCTGAGTACAATGGTCACGTATATGATCCGGCTTCGCCATTTGGTTACTTCAGAGACGATGTCAACGTGTCCATAACTCGAGCATCATCATCAGATTTTGATATGATTTTCGAAACTAACACTGTGAAGGGATTGAGCAATTATCAAAATAGTACAATCGTCATCAGATGGGCAAAAGATCAGGTAGACTTTTTTCAGAAATAGTCTGGGAAATTTTGTTTGGATTAATAAGTCAGAGACTATAATATACATAATTGTACTTTTAATGTACCTATACCTAACATGCGTAGGTCTACCAAGAAGTGTACTGGAATGAATTACAAATTAAAGGTCAGTACAAGTACTTGGATCGCTCTCGTTATGAAATCGGCAAATATCAATTGTTCGTCAATGGGGTCAAGTATCAATTTAACTCGCCACTGTCAGCCAACACAGAAATGTATCCAATTTCCGCACCGAAGTCGGCTATACACTATGACGAAGTGAGAGCTTCTTTTGACGGAGGTTACCGTGAGGTTTTCAATTCAAAACATTTTCCATACTTGCTGTAAGTTAACTAGTAATATAATATTAGGTACTCCGTTCTCGATTACTATAGGCATATCGAAATCACAATTAAAAGGAAAAAAAGGACCGTTCAGGAGTTTGGATTGTAAAAAAACACTGTAAACATCATTGTAATTTTATAACTTTGGAGGTGAACAAAATTTAGACGTTACAGAAATTCTGTGGCCATACTCGCATTCAGCTAACCAAATCCTGTTTATATTTTGGGTTTTGTACCAAGGAGAAAGTAAAATTATTCTGGCTTATTCGATTACTATTTTATAATTAATAGGACGTTTAAGCGAAAACTTGATTGTTTTATAAAAAACACCTGTACCTACCATTTTTATTATTTTTATTTTACAGATACTTTTTAGAAGACGTCGCTTTTCAAAAAATCGCTAACCAGGTCTTACAAGATATGCAAAACAATGTGACAACAGCCATCCGAGCTGCAGTCAAACCATACATTAATTTTAAAAATTACTCCGACCCCCATTTCCCAAAAGCCAACGGACAGTTAAAAAATGGACCAAGCTTTAAAATTTCCAATGTTTTTACCACCGGCCTGAACAACACTCTACAAAAATTACAAAGCTTGCAAGTAAATATGAATTCTAATTCAGTGACGGCGCAGACCTCCGTCTATGTTCACAATCTTACCGGCACTTTTGACCTGGCCGTCGAAGGACCACAGAAATACAGATCTCAAGCCAAATTCAGCTTCGAATACATGGAATTGATCATTAAGTATGATATTGTTAGGCCTCACTATAATTGCAAAACGATTGTAAAAATGTACCAACCAAAAGTATATTCAGCATATCAAAAACAAAACGCTCGAGAATGTATTTGTGCAAATCAGCAGTTTGCTGACGCATTTGCATTACAAATTAATGATCACATTTCCAAAGGATTTTGTAAATTTATAATTAATTACACAAAGAATGTGGGAACCGTTAACAGTAACAACATTTGCAATGACACTTTGTCCAAAGATAGGCTTTAACCATAAATAATTCAACGATAAATGTCTTTTACTTAAAAATTATAATAGTCTTTCTTTATAACTTGAAAACTGTTATCTAAATATTATTAAACCTATGCACTTTGTATTTTGTAATGTGTTAAATAAATTCTCTCTCTTCAGTTGTTAATCGGACGATTAGTTTGTAGCAAATCTAAATTCTTTTCTATTGGGTACCTGTCTTTCTTTCTTTTAATTTCCTCGTAGGAATATCACTATTTGTCGTATATATTCCAATCGCCGTCTTCTCTGTGATCTGTTTACTTACCACACGCCCATATGAACATAATTTCAATTTTATATAAGCAAAATATTTTTTTAATTTTGTATTTTTTAACACCAAAAAATGTTTTTTTTTTAATTTTCAGGGTTAAAAAATAAATATTTTTTAAAAATATGAATAAGTACACTTATTTGATTTTTAACTGTGCATGTTTCATGTTGATACCACTATCGACGGCTAAATTACAAAGTCGGGAACATGAGGTGTTTTTGGATAACTACCTAGGTCTAAAAAATTGTTTTGTCATTAAGGGGCCATTAGCATTTTAGCATTTTTTAAGGCGCGTATGTGCAATTTTTGGATAAATTTTAAAATTGAGATACAATTTTTAAAAATATATATGAACATAGGAAAGAAGTATCTGTTTTGATAATTCATTTTTTTCCAAATTTTATAACGCATATAGGATCTATTTTTGTACAAAAACATATATATCTACTTCAAACGTACTTTTCTTAAGAATACTTCGATTTAAGTTTTGAAAAAAATTTGAATTCTTCATAACATTTTCAAGGCATTGGCTATGGCAACATTTTAAAATTATTTTAGTTAATTAATTAACTTGCAATCTGCATACTAAATTGTTTAGTATAATTAATCATGGTATGTATTTTGCAACAGATAACTTAAGTAGAAATTCTATTTACAGATATACTTATTGTTAAAATAAATATAATCATAAATGAGTTGTGTGTCTAAGCAAAAATAATACATAACTCGTGTAATAACAAAGTTCAATAGGATTTCAATAAAAAACAATTTATAATTGCAAAAATGATGGCATCTATATAACTCTATGACTTATCAATGAGTTGGCACTTTTATCACAGAATAAAACGTTTTTTCTAAAATATAGGTGTTAAAAATATGAATTGATGTATTATTTAATAAGAAAATTGCCGTGAGTGATTACTAGTAAGTGAAACTAGTGATTACTAAACATTTGTTATACAAGATGTATGGATTATGAATAAACGATTTTGTGTATTTAAAAAATAACAATGAATTATTTAACTGTTTTTAGAGTGACTGGTGTGGTATTGTTGGGGAACCCTTTTTAAATTTTAGTCTAGGGGCTTCGACTGGTCATTGTCGTTGCTTATATTATGTGATTTATATAGGTTTATTATACATTATTTACAGATAAAAATAAAATTTAATCTAGAAGTTATTAACTATTATTAATAAAAAAAAAGTCTTTGTAAAATAATACTGGTTGAAGTAATGTAAACGATTGACTAAAACACAAAACTTGTATTAGTTATGTTATGTTATAATGCACGTAATTGTAAAATTTATCCCGGAAAAACATCAGCTTTTATTACAGGAAAACTGTCCTAGTAATTTACCTAATGTTTACTACATTTATGCAAACAGCAATTAATTAAACGTTTATGCTTACCTAATGCTAACATATGGTCCGTTATTGCCTAAAAAAACACTTTAATTAACACATATTTTATCTAATCAATAATCTTTTCAAGAAGTCATCGTATTTTTTAGCGTGTAGAGTTCATAGTAACCGGTATATAAGATGAAAATAATCAGCCTACAGTTACCATTTGTTTTGCAGACCGAACTTAAGATGAAGTTCGCAACTGTTGTATTGGCTTTGGCCGCGTGCTTCGCATTCTCATTAGCAGGTAAACTATACACAAAGCAACAATACATTTCATATTGTAGGTACAATTTTTTTTCAATTTTTCGTTTTCAGAAACTACTCCAAGCACTACTGATGTAAAATATTTTGTGGACAATGCTACTTTGCCGGAAAGATTACCGGAACTCATGCGCGGCAAATTCAGCGACGAAGATATTGAAAAAGCCGTAATTCAAGCTTTTGTAAACCAATACGAAGTAGTGTCCGAGTATAATGGCCACGTATACGATCCGGCTTTTCCATATGGATACTTAAAAGATGATGTCCGCGTACCCAAAACCCGAGCATCCGGACCCTTGTCCGATTTGATTTTCGAAGGTAACACTGTCAAGGGATTGAGCAACTACTTGAATAGTTCACTCGTCATTAGATGGTATCAAGATCAGGTAAGCAACTTTTTTAAGAACTGGCCGTATGCTAGCATCAGGGCATAACGCCCTGTTGCTAGCATACGAATATACATATTTTGACCAATGGTTTCTGTTAAAAATTACATTACTAAATTAAAAACTGGTTTTTTTTTAATTTAAATTATTATGCAATTAAGTTCTACAATTTTTAATGTTTTCCACATATTTAAATTTGTGTGAGTTTTAGTTAAGTCTAAAGTTATTTGATAATTAACGTTTTCAACCATGGGCAAAAAATACATTTTTAAAAAGGAATACGTTTATTTATGATTCATGATTGAAAATAAATCTTTTATTTAAGAATAATACCTACTAATAAATATGGACAAAAACCTGAGTAAAACCTGTGGTTATATACAGGGTGACCCACAATGATTTGACAAATTAAATTCTCAAATGAATAACTACGCGGTTTACTATACCGCACTCCATCTCCCGTCACCAGTCATCCTGACTTTCAATTTTCAAATGAATATAACTTTTGAACGAATGAATAAAAATACAAATTTTTTTTACCAATTATTTTTTAAAAATTATTTTGAATATAATGGCTTTCTTGAAAAAAAAAATTAAAAAGTAAAACAGATAAGTGCAATAAAAGCTGTGGTGCTTATATCGCAAATGAGATAAATTATTTTTAAAAAAAAATCTTAAAAATATTCACTAGAACAAAAGTTATTTCATTTTTCAAATCATTGTGGGCCACCCTGTATAGTTAAGTGGTAAAGTAATACAATGTTTAAAAACACATGCATCACAAAAAGTAATAAACTTTTTAGTAGTAACGACTAACGTGTACTAGTTTTCGGTAGCAATGAATAATGATATAAAGATTGGTTCATTTTTTATACAAAAATCAATGTTTACTTCTACAGTTATCATAATATGTGAGTTGTGACATTCTGACAATAAAAAAGTAATTTAAATGCGGAAACATTTATTTTTTGATAACTCAACCATTATATTACTGTTATTATTATACTTATGAGCGCTGAAGATGAAAGCATGGTAGCATTACTATTGAAAAATGTATTATTTCTTTAATAAATGGTATTTCTTAATAATTTATTATTTGAATAATTAAATATTTATTAATATAAAAGTTTATTTTTTATTTGTACATGAAATATTATTATTATTAATGAATAATGATCAACAAATAACTTTAAAACAGCATAAATAATTCGTAACATAATTCTAACTTTTTTTACGATTAAAATTATTTATAAGTGCCTCCAATGGGTGGCTTCTTCTCTCCTGCCTCAAGCCATGTCTCCTCCATCACATACGCTTATTGTAAAAAAAAAAAAAAATAATTACAGATCGTGTATATTTTAATAATAAATGTTAAAAAAAAAATAAAAAATAATTTATGATTAATAAAATAACTTTTAGTCACATAATACAAGTAACATATAAAAATGAATTGATATATTATTATATTATATATTAGGACATTTTTGGTAATTTTAACTCGCATATAAGTCAATTTTAAATGAAAATTAAAACTATAAATTTGTAATTTGGTACATTATTACATTTAATATAAGTTTAGGATTAACCGAACAATATTTTTTACCTTATATCCCAAAGAACAAAGAAATATTTTTAAAATGTATGGAAAATGTACAATGTTGCAACTGTATTGTATTGGTAATAAAATATTTTATGTCTTCAATGTTTTTAAATACCATACAATATGAAAATATATCTTTTAATGATCATTTTTAAACTGTGCATACCAATAATATAATATAATCTTAATACTTTTAAAATTATATATATTTAATAAAATAATATTTAAAAAAAAAGTTTGTTCATATTCCAATAATAGGATTTTAAATTAATTGAAACACCAGAATATAAAAATCGCAATTTTCTTGGACCATAAAATAATGGGTAAACCTACGCGAGGTACCTTTAAAAAAAATGTGTTGATCATATTCTAAAAATATAGTTTAGGGCGTATACTTTTTTTTCGGCTACTATAAAATTGTATTATTTTCAAAGTAGATGTATTCCTCTTTTATTTTATAAATGTTTAATGTGTTCGGTATTTATTATAGATCTACCAGGAAGTGAATTGGAATGAGTTACAAATCAAAGGCCAATACCAGTACTTGACACCCGATAAATACGACAAGGGCAAATACGCAATATCCGTCAATGGAGTCAAGTATCAAGTTATCTCCCCACTGTCCTCTAATACCGAACTGTATCCAGTTTCTGCACCGAAATCAGCTATATCTTACGAAGGAGTCAGAGCGTCTTTCACCGGACCCGAAGGATTCAAAGATGTTTTTAATGTAAACGATTCTCCAAATGTAAAGTAAGTCAATTAGAAATGGATTATCTACAAGAAAACTTTAATGCAAAAATCATAATAATATTCAGAGTGATCTAAATTTTACTTTACATCAATAGTTCTTGTTTCTATGAAATAACTATTTTCACTAGCTGCACGCATTTTGTATAGCTGCATTCGTTGTTTAAGGGTTATAACTTAAAGCTATTTATAAAGAGGGGAAATATAGGAAACATAATTTTTTTTAATTTTACCACAGTAAAAAACAAAATTAAAAAATAAAACAAAATATATTACGTCATATAGGAATTGAATTTTGAAAATCAAAGATCGATAAGAACTTTTTTTTACAAAATATATAAAAACATACTTTACTTTAACTCGCTAACACGTACGTACATAATTTTGTACGGGTATTTTTCAAATCTTGCAAAATTAATTTAACCCACTTCCCGATGTCGTTGAGGGCTGAAACTTGGCACGGACACGTTTTTTTTAAATTTATTTATTCTTGGTAGACTTAGACGAATGGTAGCCGTTTTTGTTTTGCGTGCTTAGTAAACTTTACATGTATAAAAGTATTTAAACGTAATTAGTAATTTGGGAATCAGTTCAGCGTTAGCATACGTTTTTCTTTTATAGTTTAAATCCAAAAAAATGGATGTATTTTTGCTTTGTTCCAAAATAGTACTATACGGTGTACCTGGTATCGCAGGACTGCGACGCAGCTAAGTATTATGCGAGATAAATAGAACATTAATATCACTATAAGTATACCCAACAACTAAATTTTGAATTTACTAAATAATAACTTATATATTCTTTATTTATTTTTATCCTTACAGATACTTCTTAGAAGATGTCGTTTTCCAGAAAATCGCTAACCAGGTCTTACAGGACATGCAAAGCAATATAACATCAGCTATCCGATATGCAGCTAAACCATACATCAATTTTAAAAACCACTCCGATCCCCATTTCCCAGCAGCCAGCGGACAGTTGAAAAATGGGCCAATCTTTAATATTTCCAAAGCTTTCACCAGCGGCTTGAACAACACTCTACAAAAATTAAAAAGCCTGAAAGTAAACATGGATTCTAACTCAGTGACAGTCCAGACCACCGTCTCCGTTCACAAACTTTTCGGCACATTTAACCTGGTCGTCGATGAACCGCAAAAACACGAATCTGAAGCACAGTTCAACTTCGAAAACATGGAATTGATCAGTAATTACGATCTCGTCAGACCCGACCAACACTGTGAAACTCGTGTAGAGATTTACAATAAATCCGTAACGTCATCGTATCAGCTAGGAAACAGCGAATTAAATGCTCAAGCCAATCAACAGTTTGCTGATGCATTTGCTGATGAGATTATATCTCACATTTCCACAGGATTCTGTAAATTTATCGTTAAGTACACGACTACTGTACCGGCACAATAACAACATCAGCCTTGCCGCTTTATTAAGATCTAAAAAGATGCTATAGCCTAGTTCTTGTTATTTTGAAAATATTTTTGTTAGTATTTTAACTTTTTTTAGATTATTATAAATTTTCCTGTCGATTAGTTTTAGATAAATGTGATTAAATAGATTATTTTGAATTTAATAAGATAATTTAATACACGTGTTGCCATTTATTATAGAACAAAAAATAAAAAAACTGCAGTAAAACTTTTGTATCGATAAAAACTGAAGAACCTAATACAATTTTCTGTCTGTAAATTGATTGATTTTTATACCTATTGAACAGGGTTTAACATGCACGGTTTTGCATAAAAGCGTTTATTTGAAAGTGATTTCATAATTTTCATTAATAATAATTCCTAAAGACACGAGTCGTGTAACCTCTCCGTCCCCGCCTTGACTGTCTATACTGGTCTTTTTAATGACAATTTTAATTCATTGGAAGATATGTATAATATACTATTATAGTTCAAACAATCAAATCGATTAAATTAGTTTAAAAATGTCAGAACAAATTGTTTGAACAAAAAAATAATGATGCAATAATACCTATGCATACAACAAAATTAGCAATTAAGGTGTTGTTTTTAATAACATAATTTTAAAAACAATATACAGGCGGTGTTTATATTTTGCAGGCTTCTTAGATAAGTAGTCCCTAGCCAATTCATTATGACTGAAGTTTGATAATTAATTTACTGTAGTCTGCTGGGCGCTGGCAACAATAAACACTACTAATGAACACTCAAATATATTTAGTTCTAATTAGTTACACAAACAGTAAACAGTTTGTAAACGTGTGAATGCGATATGATTTCACGGTATCTGACCGAGTAATTAATAAAACTTAATAACAAATTTTAGAATACAGAAAAACACAAAATAGATAATGAGTAATGTAAAATTAAAAATAATTAAAAACATTAATTGTTTTCTTTGTATACAATTATTCTGCACTTACCTCATTACAGATTCTAAGGTAATATTGAAAATACGGTATATAATGCATCCCTTTGTCTAAAACTGGTTTCGCCTGGAAAATTATCCGACATTTTAGAGTTGAACTTGACTTTGGATTTAGAATTTTGTACACATATTTTTAATAGCCTCTCAATTTGTTCCAGTGTTCCGAGCTCTCCAAAGACTACTCTGATGGAGTCACTTCTAAAAAGTCACGTAGTACTTATGTAACAAAAACGCAATGAAACAAATTATAAATTCAGTGGAAGTTTTTAAAAAATAGAAAATTAAATTTTTAAAAATAGGACTAGTGTAAATCATTTTTCAATTATTCGTATTCAATACATACTTTAGTCTGTACACTAAAACAACTAGAAATCTATATAGCTTAAAATCCTCTCAACTAATAAAATACCATGTTTTTATTCATTCATTAATGAATATTAACTTAAGTAAAAACAACTGTTAATTCGATTCATCCAATTTAATTAAATCTAACTCTAGGATAAAACTTTGTAGTTTAACCCAAATGTTTATATTCGCGTCAACGATGGTACTCCTATATAAACTTGGTAAATTATTATGTTTGAATTACAAAAATTTCGCTAAATTTGAACTAATTAATTCTCAATGGTGTATTTTGGTTACATGAGTTTTTTAATTCTGTAATAGGATAAAATGAATTTGAGAAATATAATTAAATAATTAGCTTGCATTAGTCTAACGTGAATTAAAAACTAGTTTATACGCACATATATCACGGATTAACTTAATTCACATCGGGTTAATGCGCTCGTAGACGTAGTAAATAGTTCCCAAGAATTAAAATACTTTTGATATGTAATCCTTAGTTACACCCACACATTCAATCATTAATTAAATATATAATAATAAAGTTAATGCGCATTAGCATTATTTGTGTTTATATCGGTAAATCGGTAATACAATTAAATATTTAATTTCGCATTAAATAATACCAACTAACGGCTGCGTTTATAATGTGTAAATATGTAAACGGTGTGAATATATTTTAATAGTACATTAATTAAACTGCATGTTAGTTTGGTGACTGCTGTTCATTAAATATGGCACAATAATATTATACCCTGATGTTATTATGTGCACTGGTAAGTTTCCTTAAGAGGACGCTACCCAGGCCATTTCTAAGGAGTAAAGTATAGGCAATTTTTCGAAAAATCTTAAATTAGAGTTTGAACTATATTACATACTTTTTATACAGTAATGAAGATACTTTATTGATTGCCATTTTTTTCGTCAGACTATCACAGTCACTTCTATAGGATAAATTACAATTTTTTCCCCATCAAAACTGCTTTGCGCGGGACAAGAATGTGAGGGCAGTATTAACAGTAGATTTACCAAATTTTCACAATGTATAGAGAAGAACTTTATCTACGGGGTAGCGATTTTATTTGTTTGATATCTATACTTAATATTACGGCTACTATAAATACCGCCTTCACATTCTTGTCCCCCGCAAAGCCATTTTTTGCGGATAAATTACGGGTGGGTAGCGTCCTCTTAAGGTACTGGTTATCATTTTCAAGGGGTTATTATTTACTACCTAATAAACATCTGTGGATAATTAGATGCCGCTATTTTTTCAGTTGTCATTAGTAGATAATACTTGTATAAAATCATATTTACTACGTTTGAAATCATGGTTTAATTCGAATTATTTGAGTCCTTAGTCCTTAAGATATTCCTTTACTAAAAAAAACATTTATTTTATACATAATTCGTATCTGAACATACTTTAAAAAACAATTTAATAATAATATTATACGAAGCTTTTAAAAATGTTATCTTGATATTTTCATTTAGATATTTTTCAAAAATCGTAAATTTAATATTCAGCTGGTTTTGCTTGTCTATACCTTAAGGGGACGTCGCGCCTCAAAATAATATCACCAAATAGTACTTTTGGATTTCCAATGGTATGAAGTCTACAATGCACGCAGAGATATAAATTATACATTTTTTGAAAGATGAGAACTTAAACTATGCTTTGTTAGAATTAGATTTTAATTTTAAGATACATACATTTGAATAATTAAAAATATGTCCTTTCTTTATGTCATATTGGTCCGTATCCAGACCAACTATCGAAAATTGGTTTCCAACATAACATAGAAAAAATTCTCACCTACAACATTTATAATTGGGTTTTTTACTCTAAAACCACCCAGTAAGCAGTGTTCTTGGAATTAAAAAACTATGTTTAGATGAAAAAAATATTTAAAATCGATGACAAAGATGCTGCGATAGTCCGAAAAATAAATTAACTGCTTAAAAAGAATTCTTATTACTAATCTAATAATTGCAAATTACAATTTAAGCTTTAAATTGAGATTTTGCAAAAAATTGCCTATACCCAACTCCTTAATAAATAGCGGTACGACGTATTAAATCTTTGTTGATAGGTAGTTGTTTATTGGAACTAAATGTTTTAATTGTAATAATAATTATAGAAAAAAAATATTTCACTTTTACCTCACTCCTGCCATTGTTGAACATTCAATGTATCATTAGGTAAGTATTTTAATTTGTCACTGATGGATAATATTATAACATTACTTTTAATTATTCTAGTTTCAGTGTATAAGTAATAATTAATAATGTGTTCACCGTTTGCGTATGGTTTGAATATTAATTTCAAAGTTTGTTTGCTTAAGCTTTAATACGCGCATATTTCAAAAGTAGTTACTTAGTATCATTCGATAAATCTCCATAAAAACCATCAGAATACGAGTAGGTTGATAACAATTTATTATTGCTGGGGAATAATTTAACTTAATTGATATTAATCATCATGTTTCGAATAAGAGTAGTAGGTTCCTATTATATAAATAATTAATTACTAATTTTGAGTTTAACTAGTTCTAAGATTCTCTAAAAAAAAAAACATTAGTTGGTTTTCAATAATATTAATTTTCGTATCGTGTACTTATCAGTTATCAGTCTATTTATCGAGAGGAAAAACAAATTCAAGTTTACCACGTAAATACGTAACCGATTATCCTCACTAGCTTTTTGTATTTTATGTATGTGTGATACCTACAACTAATAGTAAGTAAAAAGCGATATACCTCACGAGGTTATTATAATAAGTTCGGAAAACTTGTAAATAATATTAAGCCGTTAGCCCTGTTGGTATGTTTTGAAATGATTACATTTTTGTAGCGTTAGCCGCATTTGGATTCTGCTGCCGGGTTGCATTAAGTCGCGGTATAAACGTCCACTGAACGTTTAATACACCGTTCAAGTGTTCCTTAAACATAGGTAATTTAGTGGCTCGTGATCAGTCCATTAAATTTAGTAGTTCTTTATGCAACCCGGCATAAGTTTTTAAGTTTAATTAAGAATTGTATTAATTTTTAGTGATAAATAACAATTAACACTGGAACGCCAGCCGCCAGGTACCCGGGTGAATCTTGAAAAATCATATTGGCTCTGTTATCATAAAAACTCAGTTTAACAAAAAACGCAAACAAAATTTTGTTCCCGTGAGTCAAATGGTAGGTTAAGTTATATTGTGTAGGTATAAATAACACACATATATATATATATATATATATATCATTACCGTGACACGATTCACGAACAGCTACGTTACTCGACGAGGGGGGACGAACATCTGTATTTTGTGCTTGGCGTTTGCGATACCTACTACGCCAGAGCGGCGGACGCGACGCTTACGAACGCGGCTTGTTTGATAACCCCTATACGAGCGCGTGTGATGTGACGTTCGGCAACAACAGCAAAGATAACGTGACAGTAGCGACTGTCGGTTACCAGCTGTGTAGCTCACAGTATATAAACTATTTCAAACGGAAGCCGGTAAATACTTCTAATACACGTCGCCGTATTGCTGGTAAGAAAATTATTATTTTATTTATCTAAACTTCAACGAAAAAAAAAAAACCTTGTCAATAATATTTTCGAGTAGAATTTTAAAATATTTTAATAGTTTTATTTTCACCAAACTTGGTATAATCATATTTTATCGGTACCTGTAAATTCTTAACGCAAAACCATGATAGTCGCATTATAGTAGGGAGCGCATCCACGTTGATGCTTAAGGTCCAAGTTCATATTAATAATTGTCTACCTTTCTAATACAACACTGTATAATATAATGTAATAATGTTGTAAAGGTAACCTAATAAATTGTACCT